AATGTACAGTATTTGAAAAAGAATGTGTTTTTTGAACATTAAAGCATGTCAACATATTCTGTTACACCAAATACACAAAATAATGATCTTTAAAATAGCACCATATGACCCCTTTAATAAATCGAGCGAAGCCGAAATCGTGATCATGATTAAAATATGATTCATCGTGCAGCCCTACTTCCAATTTAATATTAAAAAATAAGTACTCTGAAAGGGGGAAAAAAATTAAGTCTCTTCTAGAAGACTTTTTAATTTAAATCCCATTTCTGATAATTAAACCTGGCTGTATCGGAGACTATGTGCTCACCAGTGAAGACGCAGTGCGTGGAGGAAAGCGGACAGACCCTCCATGACCAGGAGAATGGAGATGGTGAGCAGAGCAAAGACACTGAACACAGGCACAAGGAAAAGCACGCCCAGTCTGGAGCTCATCCTCAGACCCAGACGCATCACCATCGCCCACAGTACCTCTGACAGCTCTGTGACACACAAACAATACATGCAAAAATAGTCTAGAAAACAGATTCATATGGCCATGATGTAATGACATGTGTTTTTGTATGTATAGCCAGACACTCACGGGCGTGGGCGAGACTCAGGGCCCAGAGACGCAAATAGGAGGCCGTGTTGGAAATACAGCCCAAACAGTACTCTATGGTGTGAATTGCTTGATGCAGGAAGACGTCTCCAAAATCAAACTGCCAATGAACAAACATGCTGTTAGTGACATTTATACAAGATAAGTCTTTTGTGTTTTAATGGTGACTGAATGTGAGATCGGTCAACTTTAACCTCCTGAGGCCCTCCTGAGTCGCTTAGTCCCTCCTCTTCATCATGGACTACAGACGGTGACAGGTCTTCTTCACTCACACGCCGAACTCTCTCGTAGCCCTACACACAAAGTAATATGATGTAGCATCTTTGCGCCTCTTTAACCAGTCCATCTCACATCAATACATCAGTATATACATTTTGTTACACACATGTGCACATACATTTGTCATTTGGGTCAATCTCACTAAAACATGCAGGTCACACTTCACTCTAAATCATAAAAAAAACAAAACAATAAATAGTATTTTGAATAAAGAAAACAATGCCTATTTTATAATTAAGATTTTTTTTGTATTGTGATTTTCTATATTTTTATGACAAATTAAACAGTTTCTCTCAATTTCTCATTACCGTAACGCATCTGAATGTTTTATATATAGAGAATTCTTTTTATACTATATTCGGAATTTCATTACTGTAAAACAGCATTTTACATTTTAATTAGTTTAATTGAATTAAACATTTTAATCAGCATTAATTTAAGGGCAGATTTTTACAAACACTATTATGATGATT